AAAGCTCTCAACATTGGTTTTCAAAACAGAAGTTAAACATAGTTCTGTGGGAGATTGATAGGCATAGTGAACAGGATTTGTCTAGCTTATAAATATTTCAGAAGCACCTTTAAAATAAGATTCCCTGTTTTTATATTCTTAGAATTAGTTTGCTATTACAAAATTCGAATTCTTAGGAGGAACAACAACAGAAATTATGTTTCTATGTGGCTTCACGTAAAGTAAATGTTAAGTATATTCAGTAAGTGTTTATTGGTTTAGTGATAATTCTCTGCTAATTCTTGCAGGTTTGCTTTGGGTTATCTTGGGAAGATGGACAGCTCATCTCTGTTAGCTTTTGTTTTTCTAAAAGGAAAAGATCTCAATTTCATACTCCCCCTTTTTTGCTTGGTCCTTTGTAGTTCTTTAATATTTACTATCACAATAATTACTGCCCTTATGTGAAACAGCATTGTATTCATTTAGAAATTCAGTTTCAAAGAAGTTACACAACCTAGCCTAACCTAGCCAAAATGTCACTGAACTAAACTAGTATAGTCTAACTCAGTTACCTAGTACTACCAATACTAGTTTACACTGGGCTCCTTGGTTTAAGTGCATGATGCTCTTATTTCCCAGTTCCCTTCCAAAGGTATTTTAAGCCTTTACCTGCCCTATCATTTCTGTTAACTGGAATGAAAATCAGAAAACATACTGTTTGATCACCTACTTGATTTCACTTATCCTGGGAGTGTTTTCTGTTGTTTTTTTTTTTTTCTCTCTCTCTCTTTTGGTGCTTTACTGGGACTTCCAACTTAGGCCCTGAGCACTCTTCTCTTAGCTTATTCGCTCAAGGCTAGTACTCAACCACTACAGTCATAGCTTCACTAGCTTTTTGCTGGTTTTAATAGGAGATAGGAGTCTCACAGATTTTCTTGCCTGGACTGTCTTTGAACCGTGATCCTCAAGATTTCAGCTTTCTGAGTAGCTAGCATTACAGGTGTGAGCCAGTGTGCCCAGCTTGGTTCTTAAACTATTCTTCTTGTCAGTTTCATACCCTGTCATTGTTGCAGAATCTGAGACAGTTGATGTAAAAAGAGGACAATTTCTTTTGGTTCACAGTTGCTCACAGTCATTACTTTTGGGGCTGGTGTGAGGCAGTACTTCTTATATCAGGCAGTGCTTGGCTGAGGAAGCCACTTAGCTCACGGCAGCCACAATACAGAGACGTGAAAATGCTGGAGTCCCACAGCCTACTTCAAAGACACACTCCCACCCTATGACCTAACTTCCTCCTACTAGGTCCCACAGGCTCCCCATATTGCCACTCAAGGAACCAAACCTTCATCATATGGGTCTTCATGAAACACTTATTCCAAAGCGTAGGACCATCTATCAGACAAACATTTCCTTGCTTACATCGCCTCATGTCTTTCCCATAGCTCTCCTGATATGAAGAGTCATGCCAGGAGTCATAGTTACAGGGTAATTGTGTACTGTGAGTGCCCGAACATTTGCTGTCATGGCATCTTCATTCTCTGAACACTGCTTGCCATCAGGTGTATGTGTTTTATGGCCAGGTCAGGAAAGTTGAGTTTATAAACCTCATAGTTATTTTTTTCCCCAACTTCAGAACTGAGGATAAGAAATAACTGAAAAGCTGGTTAATATTGTTATATTCTCCATGTCACAATCAATCTAGATCTTGTGTCATATAGTGTGATTGCATTGCTATAGAAAGATTGTTATTTGTACTTACTGATCATTGTCTATTTAATTCTGGCAGCAGTGGTAGTAATTTGTTCAAGACCACGTTAAGTGATTATCTACCTCAGTCTTTTTTTTTTTTCTTTCTGTAGATTTTAATTCTCTGCACTGACCTGTTTTGTGAGAAAGGAAACGTTTTACGAATAGAGTAAAAGTTTATAAAATAGTTCTTTTCTTGTTTGTACTTGGAGCTTTCTTATTTGTTATTTGGATTGTTTGAAGTACTTTGAGCCTTAGATCATAGCAAATCAGGATGTAATAGTAATGCCGCCCCTTCTCTTACAAAGACAAATACATCTTCCCATACCAAGGTGGATGTTGGCTGTTGCAAACCTAATGGTGAGAAATGGGGAGGAAAGGATGTAGGTTTTTCTGAAGCATTTTACTTTTTCTTTTGAGAAATCCTTTCTATGGTTCTACATGAAACTACACTCTATTTGACAATTGTTTTCTTTTATATTTTCTTGTTTTACTATTAAGGATTTTGGTTAAGAATATATCTTAGGGGATAAAATGATCAATTGCTAATGAACTTTGGAAACCAGTGGCACAGTAAAAATAATTAGGTGGTCCTGATTGGTATTTTTAATTAGCAAAATGATTCAGGAGCAAAATAATACTTATTGTAAATCTTCAAGGACGTGCGATTACTGGGTTATGAGAGAAACACAGGATGCAGCTTCCGTGGGGTGTCTTCAAGAAGTAGGACCCCTGTGCTTGATTCATCCTTCCTACTTCCCTCTAGCCCCTTCCCTACTAGAATATGGGTGCCTGAGAGTCCCAGGTTGAGGACGACTGATTTACAAAGCAGAAGAGCCTGATTTCCCAGTGTCATGGAGCCACCATGTCACCCTTGGTCTTCTACTGCTCAAGTCGTGATATGTTTAATGGGGCTGAACTTCCTTCTTGGTTAAGCCATTTCTGTGTTTACATTTTTCTTGTCTTTTCATAAGGCAACAAGGTTAGCTGAGGAAAAGGTGCCCACCACTGAAGCTTTCAAGAGGCTAATTTTATGTGTGTGTGTGTGTGTGCCATTATTGGGGCTTGACCTCAGGGCCTCACTTGGCTTTTTTACTTAGAATCAGTTCTCTAACTCTTGAGTCATACTTCTAGTTCCAGCTTTTAGCTAATTGGAGAAAAGACTCTTTTGTTGATTTATCTTCCTGGGCTAACTTTAAACCTTGATCCTCAGATCTCAGCCTCCTAGATAACTAGGATTATGTGTGCGCCACTAGTGTCTGACTTTAAGAGGCTAATTTTTATAAGGTGTTCCCGGGTGACTCCAGTCTCATAAGGAATAGAAAAATGGTTAAAAGTTATGAATTAATTTCATAGAAAAGGAAATGGAAGTGGCTCATACAATCAAGAAAAACGATAAAATTGAACTGAGAAATTGTTTTTACTAAGCAGTTTGGCAAAAATTCAAAAGTGCAGGTGACATTTGCTCTCTCAGTCCTGTCCTCACCACCTTGCCAAGAAACTAAGGGTAGTAGTGACAACTGTGTGGCCTTTTCATTAATATGCAGGAGCTGGTGACCTTTCTTGCCTTGTGCCTGGGAACCACATGTCGACTCCTCTCCTTTATCCCTATGTCCTTTTCCCTATGACTGTAGTACAGGCACCTGCAGGGGCCACATGCTTTTGTTCTTCTCTGAATTATTCTAAGCTCCTAGTTCTGTCCTCTAGTGTAACATTGAACATATTTTTTAAATTATTATTTTAGACCCAAAACTGCTAAAAACAGGGAGTTACAGTTACATAAGTCAGGTAAGAAGCATATTTCCTTTTTTGGACAAAAATACAAATTATGTTAGGCTGCACGGAATAAGGCAATCATAAAAAAGATATCTACTGTGGAGGATAGCTTCTCATCTACGAGAATTATAGGGTGGGTACCTTTGACCCAACAGCTACCTCTGGGACTTTACCTTCAGTTCTGACTGTTCAGAATTGCTCTTTTCAGTTTTCTCTTGTTTTTACCTGAAGGCCAATAATTGAAAACAACTGAAATACCATCAGCAGGATTATTTAAGTGAAGTAATGTACATCTATTCAGTGAGATGGACTGCAAATAATGTAGTGTGCTACCCTATCTGTTGAAAGAAAACAACAAACAGATTAACAAAGAATAAGCATAGGTGGCCATTATTGTATTATACACATAAGCTAGTAAGCAAGAATGATGGGAAATGTGAAGACTTGCTAGACAGGGAAAAGACTGGGAGGACAGTCACTGGTAGTCCTTGGTGGTGTTTGTTTCATGAGGTGGCTGAAAGTATTTCCAGTTCAAAAAGTGAAAGATAAAAATCTTAGAATGGTATATGCTGATAGGTCTAAAGAATAAAACTTACATTTTTATTGAATATGTACCAATAAACATCTCTAACTTATTTCAATGATAAAAATTAATTGAGTAATGATACTATATGTATGTGTATTGTACTGTTCGTTTGTTTGTTTTTTCTAAGAATAATGTGGGCTGGATGTAATCCTAGTTACTCAGAAGGCTGATATCTGGAGCTAGGGATTCAAAGCTAGCCTGGGCAGCAAAGTCTTCATGAGTCTCTTATCTCCAATAAACTACTCAAAAAAGTTAGAAGTGGCACTGTGGCTCAAGTAGGAGAGTGCTAGCCTTGAGTGTGCTAGGCTTAGGAACAGCAACCAGGCCTGAGTTCAAGCCCCAGGATCGGCAAAAACAAAACAAAACAAACACAAACCAAAAAACAAAAACAAAAAAAACCTTAAATAAACAAAAAATAAAAGTAGCATGGAACTAGATATGGTGGTACTCTCCTGAAAACAGGAGGATCATGAGTTCCAGGCTAGCTGGGCAAAAGTTAATGAGAAAGAAGAGTTGGGGGTGTGGTTCAAATGGTAAAGTATTTGTCATTTATGTGTGAGGCCCTGGGTTCAATATCCAGCAAACCACCTCTCACCTATCTTCCCTTCCCCCCAAAGAAGGAACATGAGCAAGGGAACTTGAAATATGCCTGTGTTTTTGGTGTTTGTGGTTGTTATAGAAAATCTTCTAATTACTGTTAACCTTTTTTTCCCCTAGTCCTGACGATATTGGGACCTGCTGGTATATCCTCCTCTCTGGTTCTGTGTTCATTAAGGAATCCATGTTTCTTCCAAGAAGCAGGTATTGTATAGATTTTTCGGTAATCATACATGAAATGGGAAATTCTTACGTTGAGTTGCTTTGCAAAATTTTCCTGATACAAAGCAAAGCAGTACTTTGAGGCTGTTACATATAAATCTGAACAATGTGGAAAGACAAGAACAAAAGCCATGTTGGCGGCATGTATTATATTCATTACCTGACTATATCAGCACATTTGTTCATTGTCAGTGAGATTGGCCTCAAGATGACTTATGTAAGGAAGAGTAATTTCAATAACATTGTAGCAGGCAGTCTCAAAAGTATCTGAAGAGAGGCAAAAATCACTCATCAAGACCACAGGGGACTAGAAATGAAAGGCAGGAACTATCTTTGACTTCTTGGTTTCTTAGGACCATATGGTCTCTCATTTTTGCATCTGTCTCTCGAAGGCTTTAATCCCTCCCTGTGATTTCTGTGTGTATGTGCTGACTGTTGATTTATGACTTTGTGTCCCTAATAATTTTACTATTTTATTTCAGTGCTTGTGTATTTTTGTTGACTTCTCAAGGCACAATCTTGATAGACTCAGGCAGGTGTATACTGTTGTTCCAATCAGCTGTGGTCAAACAGGGGCTCATTTATTTAAATGTGATGATCTAGGTTCATATTAACTATAGTGTCATTAACTGTATTTTCCTCTTATGTATTTTTCACAAATAACTAAGATTTAAAATATTTTAAGTGTTCTCTTTTACATCGATAATTATTTCATTTAAATGACTAAGTATATTAAACTATATCACTTCTTTCTGCCATGTAACTACTACTCTATAAAAATATTAACTAACTTGAGTAGGCAATTCTGAATTTATTGAGTTGTAAAAAATCTATTCTAATGTTGGGAAGAATTTTATAGAAAATCGGCAAGATGCCAGGAGCTAGTAGTTCACGCCTATTATCCTATCTACTTAGAAGGCTGAGATCTGAGGATCAAGGTTTGAAGCTTATCCCAGGCAGGAAAATCCATGGAGCTGTGGCTCAGGTGGTAGAATACTGGCCTTGAGAGAAAAGCTCAGGAACAGTACCCAGGCCCTGAGTTCAAGCCCCAGCACAAGCATCTCCCCTTTTGCTCCCCCCCCCAAAAAAAAATGAGTTATGGAGAGGTGTTTTTCCAGGGTGGACTCAGGTTGGCCTGGGAATGGTCACGGGGTATAAGATGGGTTTGAGGGAAAGGAAGGAGAAAGTCTGTGTACCTACTTTACCCTCTGCTTCTTCAAGTTCAGACTGGCAAGCTTTACCTTCTTTGGGAAATGGTCCAACAGAGAGATAAGCTCTGTTGGCTGTTCACTGTCTTCAACTAGCAGTGTTTTCATAATAATAATAACATTGGTAGTAATAATCATAGGAATAGTTGTAACGGTAACAGTAGCAATAATGAAACCATAATAAATCAGAAGAACTGTAGAAGCCTTAGCTCTTTTATTATGAAACCATAATAAAAGAGCTAAGGCTTCTACAGTTCTTCTGATTTTTTTTCTAGGAATCATTTATTTTCCTTGGTTACATTGAGAAACTATATCTATCTATCTATCTATCTATCTATCTATCTATCTATCTATCTATCTATCTATCTATCTATCTATCTATCTACCTACCTACCTACCTACCTATGTATCTATCTGTCTATCTATACATCCTGAACTTCTGGGTAGTTATAATTTATTATGTCCCTCTATGTAAACATGTGCCAGGAACCACTTTAAACGTGTTGTGATTATTAAGCTATTTAAATCTACTATTATTCTTTGAGGTAGATAAAATAATTTCATGCATTTTGTAGATAAGGAAAATTGGGTTGTAGGATGCTTTCAAAATAACCAGGAAAAAATGGGACTGGAGACATGGCTCAAGTGGTAGAACATCAGCAAGCCAAGTGAATATGAGTGTGTGTGGTACTGGCACCAGTAAAAGAATAAAAAAAAAGTTAACTCTGTACCATGCTAAAGATTGACAAAACTATTCATATGTTTCTCTCTAGATAATACTGAGGTTTGATATGAACCAGGTGTTATGAGCCAGTTTTGTAAAAACAATTAGTTTATATGATTCTACACACTTAACTATATTTTTATCCTGTAAGGCTGAAAATGAGTTGTCTGTATAGTTAGTAAACTGAGCAGCCTATTAGTAGAGACTGTTACTCATTTTCCCTTGAACTGTTGTTCTTTTTTTTTGGGGGGGGGGTCCGGTCATGGGGCCTGAACTCTGGGCCTGGGCGCTGTCCCTCAGCTCTTCAGCTCAAGGCTAGCGCTCTACCACTTGAGCCACAGTGCCACTTCCGGCTTTTTTCTTTTTGCTTATGTGGTGCTGAGGAATTGAACCCAGGGCCTCATGCATGCAAGGCAAGCGCTCTACCACTGAGCCATCTTCCCAGCCCTGACCAGTTAATTTTGAACCTAAGTATCTTCACCAATATTTATGTCTTAAACTAATAGGAAATTATTTTGACATCTGATTGCATCAGGTAAGAAGGATGATATAAACCAGAACATCTGTCATTTGATTTCTAGATTACATTAGCTCTTGAAGTCCTCAGTTGATACTGAAGCCAGTATATTATGTTTCTCTCTGTTATTTTTCTAGATAGATGAGAGTTGTTTTGGTCATCTATCTTTGTGTTTGTTGTTCAGATGGGAATAGTGTTCCTTGCTAAGGTATGTGACATTTGTAGAGCCTTTGGATACCTTGTGACTGTTAGTGACAGCTTATTCCCTTCCCTACTTAAAGCAGTTTTAATGATACAAATTTTTGTGAATGTTTATTGGAAATCTATTAGAAATTTGCCAAGTTTTGAGCAAGTAGATGCAGTTTTGTTTTTTGTTACTACATATAATATTGTCCTAAGATTGATCCTAAACTACGTGGACTATAATTTGTATTTTTTTAACTTTTTATTGTATTTTCTAATTTTTGGTCAGTCATAGAGCTTGGACTTAGGGCCTGGGCACAGTTCCTAAGGTATTTTGCTCCAGGCTAGCACTCTACCACTTGAGCCACAGCTCCACTTCTACCTTCCTGGTGATTAATTAGAGATTAGAGTCTCATAGATTTTGCTGCATGGGTAGGCTTCAAAATGTGATCCTCAGTTCTCAGTTTCCTGAGTAACTAGGATTGCAGGTATGAGCTACTGGTGCCCAGCTAATTTGTACTCTTGAAGCAAGATACAATTGAAAATTGTTTTTCTTAAAGTCTTACTTAAAGTGAGTTTGATTTTTTGTATCCATAGAAAGACTGGAGCAAAGTTAATTTAGAAAGAGTATGTCGAGTTAGAGAGCCATGGATCAGGATAGAAACCGTGTAAATTACATTTGTTTTTCAAGCCTAGAAGTGAAATAGGTTGTGTGCTGCTCAGTTTTATGAGGGACTGCATCTGTCTGCAGTCATTTGTGGTTGATATATTAGAATAATTGACAGTGAGGTGAAGAAGGAATTTTTTCCCCTTCCTAACATTTTCACAAATACCATTTGTATCAGCAGTGACAATGATCAAGTTTTAAGTTTAGAAATCATTTTGTTATGTATGTTTGGTTTCTGCTGGGTAATGTATATAAAAGTATTACTGCTATTACCCTTATTTACCCTATATCAGTGCATTTAAGTAACTGTATTAGTGGTTGCTATGTCTTTTCACAAACAACTTTCTATATATTTTATGAAGAACTAAATGGTAAGAGCTGAAAGTGCTAATTGCCCTGAATTCATGCACCTTGTGTACCACTGTGACTCAATATGTTGAATTATCAAGCTAAACCCCATAAATATGTACAATTATTATGTACAATAAAAGGAGAAATTTGCTTAGGAAATTGCTTCAGTATGAATTTTGGAGTTTTAAGTCACTACAGTAATTGCTGACTTCTTTGAAAGTCTTAAGAATTCTAATTTAGATACTGAAATGTATCTAAACTTGTCAGATATCTTCTTTCCCCAGCCTTTATGTTAACTCATAGAATTAGAATATTTTTCTAGTAATATTTCAGTTATTTGAAAACCTTATTTGCTCAATGAATGGATGAAATGCTGCATATGTAAGACATGAACTGTTATTGCGATACCAACAAGACTTTCTCTGGACTTGTTTGTAATAACTCTGGGGAAAAAGTATCAAAATGCTGAATATGATTTTCTCTATAGTACCATTAGCAAGCAGTCTCTTCATTTCCTGGGCAGAATTGAGGCTACAAAGTTGGAAGAAGCCCAGGCTAGATATAAGCATAGGACCTGGAAGTTGCCAAGAGAAGGCTTATATTGAAGGCTAGGATCCAGTGGGATTATCTAAAAGACCTTATACAGATGATAGAGTCTTCCAATACATGGACTTCACAGTCTAATTAATTAATTAATTTTTGTCAGTCATAGGGTCTGGATCTGGGTGCTGTCCCTCAGCTCTTCAGTTCAAGGTGAGCATTTTACCACTTGAGTCACAGTGGCACTTCTGGTTTTCTTGTGTTGAATTGAAGATGAGAGTCTCATGGACTTTCGTGCCCAGGCTGGCTTTGAATCTCAATCCTCAGATCTCAGTCTCCTGAGTAGCTAGATTACAGGTGTGAGCCACTGGCAACTGGCTTCACAGTCTAATTTATTTGGTTATGTCAAGCAGCAGACCTGGAAGCCAAAGTCACCTGCTTACTACAAGTTGCCTTAAGAAATTGTATGTAACTGGCAATGCAACATTACTGAGATTCCATCAAAACTGAGGGATCAGGGGTTGGGTCATGGCTCCAGTGGCAGTATAGGGTTCTGAATTCAAACCCTAGGCACCCACTTTCCCCAAAAAGTAAAGAATAAAAGTTGTTTAGAAAAACCTTCTGAGAGGCCCTTTCCATCTTTATAGGTTATTTTATCTCATTTTAAAACAGGTTTTAGAGAGATCAAACAGAGTTTACCAAGCTGCATCAGTTGGTTGGAAAGTCAAGGCTGTTTGTAAATTATATTTCAAGTAACATTGGTGGGAGATTGTAAAGAATGCACACATTATT